GACGACTCTGGCTTTTCTGCGATTCAATGTACCGTCTGGGTTATATTTATTTCGCAATATTACTCTGCTTCCAATGACCTTCGCGTTGATTGGCTTGTTGATCAATTCCCAAGTGTTGTTGATCAGGATACTTCTTATCTCGTCAGTAATTGCGTCCAACCACTCCTCACGATCGGGACCATTAGTAGCGTCTTTTAGGGGAATTTCGGATGCACTGCTGGCAAGATTTGCGTCGTAGAATTCGTCTTCGTCGCTGTTCCTGTGATCTTCGTCTTCTGCTTGAGCTGATTCGTTGAGACTGGATCTTTCGCTGTTGTTTGAGTTGTCTGGATCTGCAGGTTCTTCAAATCCTAGAAAAGGTGATCCACCATTGCTTGAATTTTGTGAATTAATTTGTCGTTCGAATCCTCTGAATGAGAGTTCATCAGCGCTCGAGATTGATGAATTTACTCGTTGTTCAAATCCAAGGAACGGCGGCTCATCCTCTTCTGACGTTGGACGGTTGATTTTCATTTCGAATTCGACGAAATCGTGTTTTTCTGCATTTTCGATGTTTATTTTCTTGTTTGGTATTCCAGTGTTTTGTTTTTCTGGAAAAAGAGGTTTGATGGGACTTGTTTCTTCGATTTTTTCGATGAACTTTACATCTCTTGAGATAACGGCTTTTCTTTTCTCAGGTAGCCAAATTCGGTAGGCTTTGGATTGGTCGGCGTATCCAATAAAAATTCCAGGTAATCCTCTAGGATCAAATTTACCTTTCGTTGGATTTTTGTCGAGTATGTAGACTTGATCGCCGAATGTCCGAAGATTTGAGATGTTGGGTCGTTCACCCGTCCATCTTTCGAATGGAGTTCCACTAGGTAGACCTTTGGTGATGCATCGATTTCGCGTGTAGTTGGCTGCAGCTATGGATTCTGCCCAAAATGTTAGCGATAAACCGGATTGGATGAGCATGCAACGGGCAGCTTCCACGAGAGTTCTGTTCATCCGTTCTGCCAAACCGTTTTGTTGTGGCGTATGCGGGATAGTTAAGCGATGTTTAATTCCGTGTTCCTTTAAAAGTCCACTCAATAGATTATTTACATACTCACGTCCACAGTCTGACTGAACGGATTTAATTTTGTACCAGGTTTGATTTTCGACCATGTTTTTAAATTCTAAAAACTTTTCGGTTGCTTCACTTTTTTGCTTCATAAAGTAAACTTGACACCATTTACTGAAATCGTCAGTAAATGTGATGAAATAACGCGCACCACCGTTTAACACATTTCTCATGGGGCCACAAACGTCAGTGTGCACCAGTTCCAATAATGTCGTCGATGATTTTTCCCTCTTGTTGAATGGTGTGCTAGTGAATTTTCCGGTTAAGCAGGTCGTACAATCCTTTAGGGTCGCAGAAGGGTCAAAGTCGAATCCGGTTGCGTGATTATTTGTCAACATGCTTTTCATGTCACGTTGGTTGAGATGTCCGAGTCGAGCATGCCAAACATCAATGCTTCTTTTCGTTCCGCATGTGAGGTTTGATTCTTCGGATTTTCTCAAATAAAAAAGATCACCGATTCTGTCAGCTGTTAATTTCACGCTGCTGTTTTGATCCTTCACAATCGCGTGTTCTTTTGAAAAAATAACTTCACAGTTTTGGTCCATTATTTTTGTTACCGAGATTAAATTGGTTCTGAGATCCGGCGCGTAAAGAGTGTTTTTCAGTACAACTGTGTTCGTGTTGTCGGTTTTGAGCTTTACTTCGCCTTTAGCTATTACGGGAGTTGTTTCACTATTCGCGAGTTTCACCAGTGTTTTGGTATCCGACATTTCAGAGAAAGCACTTTTATCTTTGCACAAATGTGAACTGCAGCCACTGTCGATGCACCAGAGATCACTATTCGCGCACTGAGTTTTGCTTTCGGAAAAGAAACACTGCGTGGTTTCTACATTATTAGCCGATGAATCTTCTCGAGGATTTTTATGAAAACAATCCGATTCTTTGTGACCTCTTTTTCCGCAGAATCCACAATTGAATTTCGGTTTGTTTTTGTTATTGTTGAATTTCTTTCCACCGTTGTTCCTAGTTCCATTGGCTCTCGGTCCGTCATTCCTTGCTTCGTTGGTTCTCGGTCCGTCGTTCCTTGCTCCGCTGTTTCTCGGATTGAAATGACTGCGTTTGTGGTTAACAAACATGGCGGCGTTGTCCAGTTCATCACTGCTTCGTCGAGCATTGTATTCTTCCAGAATTTTTATTTTCAGGCTCTCAGCATCTGGCAACTGATCCCGGGACTCTATGGCACATCGGAAATTGTCGAAGGTGTTAGGCAGGCTATAGAGCAACATAATCGAAAGCAGGTCTCCGTTTATTTCGACGTCCATAGAGTTCAATTTATCTACTGCATCAAAAAATTCGCCAAGGTGTGCTTTTAAATCGTCGCCCTCGGACATTTTGTGCTGTGTGAGACGTTTAAGCAGGGTTGCTTTTCGAGCGGGACCCTTTGACGCATATATTTGTTCCAATTTTGTCCAGACATCCTTGGATGTGATGCAGCCTTTTATTTGCTTAAGTTCTGAAGGGGAGATACTTAAGATGATATCTGCCTTCGCTTTTTGGTCTGCTTTTATCCACTCTTTTTGTCTGGTTTCTGATTGTGCTCGAGCTACTCCTTCTCCAGTGATTTCAGGTTTTTCTGAATCCCCGGATACGTAAATCCACGCGTCGGTTTTTATTAAAAGTGCTTCTGCCTGTATTTTCCAGGTATCATAATTATCGCGAGATAACATTTCGAGACGTACGGAATTCGTGTTAATGCAGTTCGCCATTTTGATGCAGGCTGTGCTTACACTTTCGCGTTTTTAGTCTTTTGAATATTTAACCCGAAAAAAAAATTTTCACTACACTATTAATTACCGCGGTTCTGGGCCCATAACCTGTTGGGCAGTGGAAAAAGGATAACGAGCATTGTACGAGATAAATGATTTATTTAATATAATCAATGAGTAATAACGTGTAAAACGATAAACGTGTTGTCGAGTAACTAACTTGTAAAGCGCCCAGAAGGGGTCGTGATAATAAATGTAACGATGACATCTAGTGTCCAATTAAGTAAACATTAGCGGGAATTATAAAAGTGTAATGAAAATATTGAAAACCCCAACATTTATAAATGTTTTCAATAATTCTGCACGACTCTGAGTAAACGCTTAATGCCTAGTTTGGAGGAATCTAGAAACATCCAATTATTAAAAGTTTATTATTTAGTTTAAACGTAACAAAAATATGTTCTACAACTGTTCAAGAAGAAACAATTGTAGTACTGTGTAAATTTCTTTTAACAGCTAGCAAAACACCACTTCCTCGTCAAAATCAAAAAAACCTAATTCTTGTGAATTAATATCACTATTTAATCAAGTCTCACTAAGAGCAAAAACACTATATGTACATTACACAGCCCCACAAAAAAAAAAAGTGTCGTGCGCGGCAGACCAGACTAGTCATTTCCTATGTATTTTGACGCGCTGAACACGAATCCGAAGTCCGTTTTGCTCCATCACGTCAGGATTTTTTTCTAACCTCCAAAAACCTGTCGGATTTTGAGAGGTAGGCTATTTTTTTTTAAAATTGATGGATTTACTTCAAACTTGGTATCTAGGGGTTTTTTGGGTCGCTGATGACGAATTTGAAGTTAGATTTTCAAAATTTAAAATGGCGGCTCCAATATGGCGGATTATATCGACCGTTCAAAGGTGATAATTCCGCCCTTACACACGAAACTAGGAGCAATTAAACAGTTTGTCAAAGCCTTAGATAAAAAAGGAAACTGTTTCAAATACCTGGAACAAAAGTTTCCAGAAATCTCTGATGCGAAACTAAAAGAAGGGGTTTTCGACGGAACACGTATTCGCAAATTGTTAAAAGATGAGCAATTTATCACCAAGATGAATAAAAAGGAGAAAGCCGCATGGCTTAGTTTCAAAGCAGTTGTCGAAAATTTTCTGGGTAATCACAAGAGTGAAAATTTGGAGCAAATAGTTAGTGATATGATCAAAAACTTTGGTAAGTTAGGATGCTTAATGAGCATAAAGTTGCATTACTTAGACACGCATCGGGATCAATTCCCTGAAAATTTTGGAGATTACAGTGAAGAACAAGAAGAACGATTCCATCAAGATCTGAAAGAATTTGAGCGTCGTTATCAAATCCATCAATTTTTACAAAATTCGTCCGCCATATTGGAGCCGCCATTTTAAATTTTGAAAATCTAACTTTAGATTCGTAATCAGCGACCCAAAAAACCTCTAGATACCAAGTTTGAAGTAAATCCATCAATTTTTACAAAATTCGTCCGCCATATTGGAGCCGCCATTTTGAATTTTGAAAATCTAACTTCAAATTCGTCATCAGCGACCCAAAAAACCCCTAGATACCAATTTTGAAGTAAATCCATAAGTTTTTAAAAAAATAGCCTACCTCTCAAAATCCGACAGGTTTTTGGAGGTTAGAAAAAAATCCTAACGTGATTGAGCAAAACGGACTTCGGATTCGTGTTCAGCGCGTCAAAATACATAGGAAATGACTAGTCTGGTCTGCCGCGCACGACACTTTTTTTTTGTGGGACTGTGTTACCGTCGGAAATTGTCGGTACGATTAACGTTCGAGGAGTGGAAATTCGGCGCTGACTTTAAAGCAAGATATTTCAAGTTAGAAAAAAGTTAGAGACTTCTAACTTAGATGGTTGGAAAGCTGATAAAATTCTACTTCTAAATGTATATCAAGAAAATTTTTTTCTTTTTTTTGTATTTATAACACCGAAAAGATTTCAAGCAAAAATTATGCAATTTTCGTACTGTCGTACTAATGTTCTTGACTTCGGGCATAATCTACAATAATGTATGGAAAAATTTGACAATTTTACAACATAATCTTGAAGATCTTAGCTTTAATTTGCATTTTTGAAACTTAAAAAATGTTTAGTGGTTCCTGAAATATGTTTAAAAAAAATACATTGACAAAGTTTTATGAATGTTTGTTCAAATAAAATTATTAATTTTATTTGAAATTAATAATTTATTTTAATTATTTCAAAAAATTAATTTAAAAAAGTTTTTTTGAAAAGTTATTTACAATATAAATAAGTATATATTTATTACTTAATATTAAAAATGTAGATAGTTCTTTTTCTCGCGGAAAGTGAGCCTGTCTTATTAAAAATGTGGATAAAAAACGACACTATTTACAAAGTTTTCTTCTTCTCTACCTTTTGCGATCAGTTCATATACGAAATATAGTTCTTTTAAATAAGTATTTTGAAGAAGATTGGTCACTTCGTTTGGCAGATGGCAGCTTCTTAAAAATTAATTCTCTAAAATCTCTGTACATAGGTTATAATTAACACTTAATTATCTTCTGCTCTAATTAAAAATTTTAATTACTAATAGGATACATAGGTTAATTTTTTATTATGAATCCGACGGTGTAAAGATTTCTTTTTTATTAAAATGTGATCAGTGAACCCTATGATTGTAACAAAAACCTATTTTAAATTTTTCTCGATATAAATGTAATATAAATTATTTTTTGGAATATTTGTAAACAGATCTTTTATGTTCATCAAAATCTTTTTATCATATGCAAAATATAACTTTATTTAACTTTATTTACAACATAGTAAAACTGCTTGTTTTTTCAATAAATCTTTTATATGAATGCTAATAAATATTGATATATATTCAAAAAATAATGAAGAAAAAAATATTCAGTTGCAAGAGAAGTAAACATTATTATTGCTATTATTATTATTTTATTATTATTGTTATTGCGAAAAATGAGTATATTTTATTTAAGAGCTACTACTACTACTTTCTGACAGTTGAGCTTTTTTAAGTATTTTACCGGAATGTCTTACCTTCTTTTTCGCACGAGCTGATTTCTTTTTTGACTTATTAAATACTTCTATAGCATGAATTTTATTCTTTGCTGCTTTTATTCGAGAACTTTCTTTCTGAGGTATATACTCCTCACTCCTTTTATCGAAATTTACAGCAGCCAGTTGAGATTTTTGTGTAGACGAATCTTTAAATTTTGAACAATTAGCCTCGCCTTTGAAAGTACTTTTAGAAAGCACTTGATCTTCTAATTCTTTAACAAGAAGTAACGAATCGACTTCATCATCTACTTCAGTATCATTACAATTAGCTTTTGCACTTTTTTCCTTAATACTATTTTCTTCTACCGTTCCCGATTCCATTCTACTCACAGCCGATTGAAGTCGTTTACTTAAACTGCCTTTAATATTCTTTGGTACCATTCGAAATTGAAAATATGCATCAATTCCTTTTTGAGATCTGCCTTCTGACAATTTTTTCATAATTGGATTAATTTTTTCCTCAAATTTAAGTTTATCCCAACCAAATTTTTGTTTAACATAATCAAACAAAAGATTTACATTTGGCTTTTTCCAAGTGAATTTTTCTTTGGATTCATCAACCGTTGGAAAAAGGTAAGCTTGTACCACAGATTGACTTGGAAAGCCATCTGCAATTTGTGTATTTTTTAATTTATTTCGAAGATTTGTTCTGTTTGATTCAGAAAGTTTACCCGATTTAAACCAGTCTGAAAAATTAACTAGTCCTTGAAGTAGATTTTCATCTCCCGATGGAAAGGCAGCGAGAATTTCCATAGCCGTCACAGGTCCAATGCCACGCAATCCTGAAGTGTAATCGCTTCCAACTAATAAAGCAAGCTGAATCAGTTGCTGTCTTGATAATTTGAAATGATGATGAATGTCGCAAGATCGAAATTGCAAAACGGTTTTATTGTTGTTGAAAAAATTTTTGTAAACGCACTTCGCACCAAAAAGCCAAATATCCGAATCGTCTGTTATTGTTCCATCAGTGAGGTTTATTTGTTCCAGATAAGCGCACTGAGCTTCTGCTTCCATTGGAGCTACAATGTAAGGTATTCCAAAAAGGCGAAGAAGTTCTTGTGCTTCTGTACACATTTGGTCAGTGATATTCACTGCCTGCCTTTCTAATTTTCCTATTTCTGCATTTAGTTCCTTTCGTTCGTCTTCCAATATATCCAATGTCGAAATAATATCTTTTCCAGCGAGAGGTAAAGAAATAGAATTTAAAGCTTCTGATAATTGAGAAGATGTAATGGAAGTAATATTTGATTCTACAGTTGATTCGGAAGAAGGTGATTTATTTTTAAAATCACTTTTTGATTCTTCTTTTTTACTACTTTGTTCTTCCTTGATATCTTTATTGTCCAAATTTTTCAAATCGTAATTCTCATCATTTAAATCAACAGTTTCCTTTTCCATTGTATCTGACAAATCTTTTGATTTTTCAATTTCAAAAACATCAGCAAATAGATCATTTTCTAAATTGTTGACATGTTTAACAATGATATCAAAACTGTTTTTAGTTTCATGTTTACGAGTAAAACTTGCTTCAGAAATTGAATTATCTACTTCGATAAAGTCATCATCAGAATCACTACTGTCTGAAAATATTTCTTTCACATTTGAAATATTTAAAACTTTCTCAGATATTTCTGATTTTTCTTTCAAAGAAATAGTTTTATCGACAAGTGAATCTTTTGAAATTTCATCCGAAAGTAAATTCGTATTTTTCTCCGTGCGTTTATTACAGCCAACCGTAATAAATTCTTTATCATCATTATCGCTATTTTCTGACGATATTTCTTGCACACTCGAAATATTTAAAGGTTCTTTAACTTTATCTGATATTTCCATTAAAGAGACACTTTTATCGTCAAGCAATTCGTTGGAAATTTCAGTAGAATCAGAATTTAGAAATATATTTTTTTCTGTCTCTTTATTACATAAATGTTCAATATTAGATAAAATTTGTTCGTTAGCAACAATAGATTGATGTACATTGTCAGACGTACTACTTTTTGGTTCATTAATATTGTTTTTTTTATCTTCTTTTTTTAATTTTAATGAAACTTCTAGTTTCTTATTAAACTTACGCTTCTTCTTCTTCTTCTTTCTTTTTTGTTTTATAAAATTAGAAATTTGTTCTTCAGTTAATGATGTGCACTCTAACATATATTTTTTTATTTTCTCTGTTGTGCTATTACTTTGAACACTTGTTTCAGGAATTGGATTTAAAACAATATCTACATCTGAATCCCAGTTATCGTCTTCATCCCATTCCTGCACACTTTCAGATGAAGACGTTTCTTTAAAATCGACATCACTAGGAGATAATTTTTCTATAGAAATTGGTACATTTTTTACACTTAGCTTATCGCCTTTTGTACATGTTTGTGTAGTAATGTTATTAGTTGTTTCTTGCTCTACATTTTTATCTGTAAAACAAAAAAGTTTTTATTGAATGTTTTTAAAATATAAAAAAATAGATTCCAAATTTATAATTAAAAAAAAGAACTTTTTAAAGAAAGGAAGGAAGCTTTTCAAAAAGATGATTTATGCTCTCAAAAAAGTTACAGTTATGCTATAATTGAGGACCCCGATTCTATAAGGCGCTCTTCGCTTGAGACAGCCGCCTTGCAACCAATCAGGTGGTCCAAAAATGAAAAAAATAAAATTCAAAATTAAAATTTTTTAAAAAACAAATATCAAAATTAATAAAGGTAAAAAAGTAGAAAAATTTTTACGATAATTTAATGGACTTTTAAAACATAACTCGTCGTAATTTCGACAAATATTGATGAATTTTTTTGAAATTTGGTGCAATTTATTCAGTTTATACTATGAAAGACGACAATCATAAAAAAAAATTGGTCAAGTACGAGTTGCACTCGCTTACCTAGGCTAGGGTTCCGTTCACGATTATTTAAATTTAAATATTTAAATATAATATTTTAAAGGAGTCGGCTATATTTTTCGTGAAATCTCCACGTGAAATTAAATAGCAGCTTCTTAGCTCTCAAAAAATTTCTTATTATTTATCACAGAAAAAACCTGAATTCAAATTGAGTATACATTCTATACTCAATTTGATTCGCAACAAAAATGAAACTGGTTGTTTCATTTCGAGTTCTAAGGTAAAAGTATCAAAATGAAACAGGCAAGTTTCATTTTGAGAAAAAGAAAAATGGAAAAATATTGTGAAATAACGAATAATTTTGCACAAAAACATGAAATATAATAATTACAAAGAAGTAAATAACACGCTAGACTTAATATATTTGATTAAAAATTGCTTGTAATCGCGTAATAAAATAATAAAGGAAATATGTTTTTAGGTTAGAAAAATGAAAACATGTGTTTTGACAACAGGAACGGTACTGCCAACTTAAATAATAGCGGTAAATTTAAAAACTTATGAAATTATTATTATCTACGTAAATAATAATAAATAATTTTTATTTAAAAACTTCTAAATATTCGTACTGGTCAAAATAATCTTTCTGGTGTTGTTGAAATATTAGAAACAATAATTGAAATACAAAATTACTCTGCTTATGATGCCAACTTAGAAATCTGAAATTCCAGCCAATATCATTTTGAATAACATGAAGTTTGTCCCATATTCATTTCGATACCCAAAAGAAAATGAGTTGCAACAAAAATGAGTCCAAGTTTTTTCTGTGATATTAAATAACAATAAAGTTTTAATTTTGAAAATATGTGTTTTTCAACCTCCTAATGAAAAAGTTATCGAGGGAATTTTCATTCTGGAAAAACTTCTCGCGACAAAATTTTTCCTTAAATATTCCCTCACAACAAAAGGATATTCAGGATATCCTTGGGACGTCCTGGGGATATCGATTTGTTTTCGGCGGTTTGGATATCCCTGGGATATCTTAGAGATGTCCATGGATATCCAGAGGATATCGTAGGGATATCCGAATCGCCAAAAGCAAATGGATATCCCCAGGACGTCCCAGGGATATCCTGAATATCCTTGTGTTGTGAGGGTTAAGGAAGTTTTTCCAAAAGTTTGGAATTAATTCTATAAGAAATAAAGAAGTTATAAGGAAAATAGTGAAAAACTATTTTTCCTTTTTCTTCAGCAGCAGCCATGACACTTCACGACTTAGTTTCTTCAGGGGCGTTCATATTATATAATTCGCCCAACATGCCTTTATTAATTTTAATATTTGTTTTATAAAAAAATGTCAAAGAAATAAAAAGGTGTGGATTTTTATTTCCTACAGGATAGGGTTATTGAAAAAATTTTATTTTGAATTTTATTTTTTTCCATTTTGGACCACCTGACTGGTTGCAAGGCGGCTGCCTCAAGCGTAGAGCGCCTTATAGAATCGGGGTCCTCAATTATGCTTTCAAATAGTGTCAATTATGCTATATATTATTATACTCTTAAATTTTTACTGAAGTTCTAAAATATTAAATATATCTAATAAATTAAAAATTTCGAATTATTTAAACAAAAAAGTATTTAAAATTTAAACTATGATTAAATCTATTTAAAAAAATAATACAAAGAGTTCAGCAATTTAAAACAAAAATTCAAACCAATATCAAAATTTTTAAAATTAGCAATAATTTTTTGCAAAATTCACCTTTAACGTAACAAATCATAATATTTTTAAATCTCAATTTTTTTATCAATAAAACATGATTTTTAATAGGTATACAATTAAATTATTTACTTATTTTTACATAAAAATTCTTCGAAAATTTAAATATATATTTTCAAAATTTTTAATTAAATTCTTTAATAAATTTCAATTATTTTCTAAATCTGCTATCAAATTTTCATTTATTTAACATCCTTGTAATTAAATATCTATAAAATTTTAATTTAACAATTGTAATTTTAAAACAAAATAATTCTAAACAAATTCTTCGAAAATTTTATTATCTATATTAAATCTAAATAATTATATTATTTCAAACATTTTTAACTAAAACTCAGTAAATTTTATCATTTTCAAAAATTTAAATGAATTTAGGGCAATTTTACACTACCGTCCGAAATTGTGCGAACGCTTACACCGCGAGTCCTTGAAAAACATACTCGCGTGAAAATAAAGATAACTCTAAGAGAAATTAACGTAGAGACTTTTCCCTTATAGCGTTGAAAAGCTTATTAAATTTCGAAAAAAATGATACCTATTTGAATGAGATTGCTTAAATAGGTTTAAATATATCATATTACAAAGTTGAAAAAATAATTGTAATTTTTTGCTTATTTCCTACCTTGACTTTAACCTCTTGCATGGTCCAGGAAAATCGACGAAAAAAATTGTCCTTTAACATAATTATTCCTTGAAATCTAAGCTTTCCATTGATTCCAAGAACAATAAAAAATGTTGACGAGTTTGCCAGTAGTTGAAAAAAAGGACGAGCGTGCACGAAAAAAATTCGACCGTCAATCGCTCGATTTTTCCGTCTCGCTGCCTCTTTCGTTCGTGTGCCAGGGCTGAAACAGAGAATTTTGATTAGGCGCTTTCCGGGCACCATTAATTTCATTATTTTTGCCTTTTTGTGAACATAAATTATTTGTATAACGCGAAAGATATCATAATTGTGTTATAAGTTAATTAATAATAATAACAGTCATAAAGCAGAAATTGAAAAATTGATATTGACTGCAAGAGAAAAAAATATTTCACATACATAAAGACATTAATTTTTTAATCAATCATAAATAAAATAATTATACAATTAAAGTTTTGTAAAAATTAAAATATATTTATAATCATTAAACAATTTATTATTAAGAATCAAAAACCTCGTTGATCAAATTGAATTTTTTAATAATGAAATATATAAGTTTTATTACATTTATTTAATTTTAATAACTGTATAATTAACTTATAACACAATTATGATATCTTTCGCGTCATACAAATAATTTATGTTCACAAAAAGGCAAAAATAATGAAATTAATGGTGCCCGGAAACCGCCTAATCAAAATTCTCTGTTTCGGCCCTGGCGCACGAACGAAAGAGGCAGCGAGACGGGAAAATCGAGCGATTGACGGTCGAATAATTATGTTAAAGGACAATTTTTTTCGTCGATTTTCCTGGACCATGCAAGAGGTTAAAGTCAAGGTAGGAAATAAGCAAAAAATTACAATTATTTTTTCAACTTTGTAATATGATATATTTAAACCTATTTAAGCAATCTCATTCAAATAGGTATCATTTTTTTCGAAATTTAATAAGCTTTCCAACGCTATAAGGGAAAAGTCTCTACGTTAATTTCTCTTAGAGTTATCTTTATTTTCACGCGAGTATGTTTTTCAATGACTCGCGGTGTAAGCGTTCGCACAATTTCGGACGGTAGTGTACCTCTAAAAATACTCCATTAACCAAAATTTTAAGAACCTATCTCATAAGGATGTATAAATAAGTTCTAAAAATCAATTGTTAGAACTTTCATTTAATATAAATTCTACATAGAATTTTCATTGAGCCGAATTTTATTTGTTCGAATTATTATTTTAAAGAATTTTCATTAAACTGATTTTATGTATTACAGAATTTTTATATAACCAAAAATTCCCTTCACCTAATTTTTATTTGTTTAAATTTTCATTTGTCAGAATTTTTATTTGCTCGAATTTTCATTTAACATAATAATCATTTTAATGAATTTTTATTAGGTAGAATTTCATTGCATAGAATCATTTTATTCTTTAAGACGAATTTCCATTTGTTCGAATTATTATTTAATAGAATTTCTATATAACCGATTTTCCATATTATAGAATTTATAATTAACCGAAAAATTATTGAACAGAATTTCTAATTGATAGAATTTTATTGCAAATAGCCGAACAAACAATCGACATAAAGATTTTGGCGCGATTTTTAAAATCAACAAATCAAAAACACAGCCACACAAAAAAAAATTTGTTTTCTGACCCAGAGGTCTCACTATGTGTACTTTATGTTTTTGGGGTCGCTGAATCCGAATCCGAGGTCCATTTAACCCCATCAGTTCAGGGTTTTGATATAACCCCAGAAAACAAATATGGCGGACACCTTTTGGAAAAATTCATCGGATTCGCTTGAAACTCGTTACTCGGGGGTTTTAAGGGTCGCCGATTACGAATTTGATGTCAGTTTTCAAAAATTCAAAATGGCGGATCCAATATGGCGGACACTTTTTTGTAAAATTCATCGGATTCGCTTGAAAATCGTTACTCAGGGGTTTTGGGAGTCGCCGATTATGAATTTAATGTCAGTTTTCAAAAATTCAAAATGGCGGATCCAATATGGCGGACACTTTTTTGTAAAATTCGTCGGATTCGCTTGAAAATCGTTACTCAGGGGTTTTAGGGGTCACTGAATCCCAATTTGAAGACAGTTTTCAAAAATTCAAAAGAATTACTAAAATATGTCAATTTCTACACGGGATATTAACGGAAAATATCGATATTAAATTTTATTTCAACATAAAAACTCTTAAAGAATTTGAAGCTTAAGTTCTATGCAGAGTAATTGGATCTTGCGTGTGTCTGCATCCAGGGCACCTCCACGTGGTGACGGTGGGCAACGGAGATTGTCCGCTATCCAGCTAAGTCCCTAGATAACGGCTTTGATGCCGTCATGGCAGACCCACGTAAGAAATGTGTTACGATGCAGGGACTCGGAACCCCAGTATCGGCGGTTGAGGGTGAGAAAGCAGGCTCTCAGGCGTCGAAATCCAGCAATTGCAGCTCTTTATTGGTGGGAAACTTGGCTAATGTAGAGTATACTGCGACAAGACAAAGTAACAATCTATGTCACGACTGCGATAGTAATCGTGATGTGTTTTGTTATATCTGCTGCAAGTACGAAATCAGTTCATTGCGAAAACAAATTAATGATGACGTCAAAGTCAAATACAAGGAGATTTTTGATTCAGAAATTGATGAGAATGCATGGGCTCCCAATATAATTTGCAATTGTTGTAAATTAATGCTTAACCGTTGGAAGAAAGACAAAAAAGCAATCAAATTTTCCAGTCCAGCAGAATGGAAGAAACCTCTTTGTAAAGAAGATTGCTTTTTTTGCTCAAATAAAGTTACTCAGAATTACACTTCTAAAAATAAACACAACATCGTTTATAAAACAGTAACATCAGTAAAGGCTCCAATTTTACCCAACAACAAAGAAGAAAAAACTGATTTCGAGAGCATTAACGCAGTGAGAAATTATGAATTAATGAATGTTGATGAATACGAGCCTGAAAGCGATCATGACGATAGCGACTCTGACTATTCTGCAGACACTAAAAAATCAGTCCGAAAGCTACTTTCACAGCCTGTATTAAATGATCTCATACGCGACTTAGGTTTGCCAAAAGATAGTGCGGAGTTTTTGGCTTCATTTATGAAGCAGCATGATTTCCTAGAACCAAAGACAAGGGTTTCCATATATCGAAATCGAGAATCAGACTTTCGAAAATACTTTTCTAAAGATGATGATTTTGTACTGATATAATTGGACTGATGAATGAAATGAAAAAAAATTGCTACAAAGCAACAGATTGGCGTCTTTTCATCGATTCTTCAAAAAGAAGTATTAAGGAAGTATTACTGCATAATACCAATGTTTATGCTCCTATACCTATAGCTCATTCGACTGTAATGAAAGAAAAATATGGAAATATGGAAATACTTCTGAATAAAATTGGTTACGAGCAACACAGATGGCAGATTTGTGGAGATTTCAAAATCATAACTATGTTAGTTGGGCAACAGTCTGGATTTACAAAATATCCCTGCTACTTATGTTTATGGGATAGTAGAGCTAGAAAACAGCATTACAAGATAAGAGATTGGCCTATGAGAAAGTCCCTCACACCTGGATCGCACAATGTCATTAATGAATCGCTCGTAGATCCATCAAAGGTCCTGCCTCCTCCTCTGCACATTAAGTTAGGTCTTATGAAACAGTATGTCAAAGCTCTTGATAAGACAGGTAAATGTTTCGAGTATTTACAGGCGATATTTCCTACAATTTCTGAGGTCAAAATTAAAGAAGGTATCTTTGACGGTCCTCAAATTCGAAAATTGCTTAAGGATAATGTCTTTATTAGTCAGATGAATAATGTGGAGAAAGCAGCTTGGTTGAGTTTTCGAAAGGTTGTAGAAAACTTCTTGGGAAATCGAAAAAGTCCACAATATAAAGAAATAGTGGCCAAGATGATAAATAACTATGAGAAGTTAGGATGCTTGATGAGTTTGAAACTGCATTTCTTACACTCCCATCTTGACAAGTTTCCGGAAAACGTAGGACACTTCAGCGAAGAACAAGGTGAACGATTCCACCAAGACATTAAAATTGTTGAAACTCGCTATCAGGGAGCGTGGGATGTCAATATGTTGGCAGACTTTTGCTGGATGCTCAAAAGAGAATCACTTGAACAGAACAACAAGCGTAAAAGAAATCCCCTCCACAGATCGTTTGAAGAGAAAAGAACACGATATAGTTCAAAAAAAGAAAACCATTAAAATATTATCCGCTTTTGGAGCAGCATTCTTATTTATCAATCAGCCCTCTTAAGGGCTATACATGATGTACAAAATCCGATCGAGCAACCTCCCCGCGGTGTACATCGGGTAATGCCAATGCCGACGGTACAAGGATTTAGAAAATTGGTCTTAATTAAATGAATGTAATAATAAAGTCATTTTTTGAGGTTAGAAAAAATTTCTGATTTTAATGGAGTTAAATAGACCTCGAATTCGGGTTCAGCGAACCCTAAAACCCCTGAGTAACGATTTTCAAGCGAATCCGATGAATTTTACAAAAAAGTGTCCGCCATATTGGATCCGCCATTTTCAATTTTTGAAAACTGACATAAAATTCGTAATCGGCGACCCTTAAAATCCCCGAGTAACGAGTTTCAAGCGAATCCGATGAATTTTTCCAAAAGGTGTCCGCCATATTGGTTTTCTGGGGTTATATCAAAACCCTGAACTGATGGGGTTAAATGGACCTCGGATTCGGATTCAGCGACCCCAAAAACATAAAGTACACATAGTGAGACCTCTGGGTCAGAACACAAATTTTTTTTTGTGTGGCTGTGAAATTATCCAGAAAATTGTGATTAGTTACTTTTAAAAATTGAATCGAAATCTTTCTATTGTTTGTTTGTTCAGCTATCGGCAATTTGAAACAAATTAAAATTCTATCAATTAGAAATTCTGTTAAATATAAATTCTGTAGTTTGTAGAAAAATTTGAGCAAGTTGGCAAGCTCTTACCAACAATTCTGCGTTCTACCCGTGAAATCCCTCCAAAGTTAAATTAAATTTTTTTTTAAAAAATACTTACCATTGAGAAAAATAACTCTAGACGAACTGTCAGAGGCAATTCTTAATCCAGGATTATTATGATCTGTTGTTTCTATGCCTTGTTCAGTTAAAAGTTTATCCAATTCTTCTAATGTTAAAGTTTTACTACCTCCTATTTCTTTTTCTGCAGTTTCTAAAGACTCTTGAACATGTCTACGTTTTAATAATCGTTTCATTTGAAAATTCGAAAAATCATTCAACACCTAAAATAAAAATCAATTATAGAACAATAAATATAGTATTTTTTTAAAAGATGATAATTTCTTAATTGCATTTTGAGAAGAAAGCGAAAAAGTACGTGAGATGTCGTTTATATTTTTTCAACGATAGAAATAAGAAATATCTTTTTTTAATATTCGTTTTATCCCAAAACAAAATTATAAAACAACTTTTTGGAAATAAATTTACTTCTATTAACAAATCACCATTAATTTTATTTAATTGGCAGTATATTCAGTTAAATAAGGAATTGTATGTTTTTACTCAAGTAGAAAATAGTTTTAAATGCAACGTACTGGTGGCATTTCATGAATGCGGCCCCAAGAATTTTGTTTCCTTGTATCCTTGAGGTCAGTAAGAATATCATATCTTACATCAGCAGGTAAACATCTAAATTCGTTCGTATCAATATTCACACTATGGATATTTCCTATCCATTTAGATTGTTTATGAGGACTAGATTCTTCAGAAGAATCATAGTCAGATTCATCAATAAAATCAAAATCATCGATTTGCTCTTTACTGGTACTTGGTTGTTCAATTACTGTATATAAATCATTGACTTCAGTGGATTTAACAGCTCCTTCTGAAATTTCTACTGACGAACTCCTTTGTTCTTGATCAGTTTTTCGGTCGAAAACATCATTAACAGCAAAACGTTTTATTAAGTTACTCATCAATTTAGACTGTAAATTTTTTGCTTTACTGCCTGCAATCGATTTCAGTTTCCTGCGAGTAGCCTGAAAATATAAGCAAATGTGATAAAAAAAAAATTTTTGAATTTATAATCGGAAGAAATTATATTCAACAAGAAAATCAAATTTGGCAGTACTTTTGTGAATTCAGTACTTTAGTTGTGATAAAGAACTTTATCAAATATAGAGAATATAGAGAATAACAAGAATAATGTTAATTTAAAAATTAAATAAGAAGTGAAATCTTACAATTGTATTTCTTTTAAGCATTGGAACGCCACCATCAAATACGAAAACGGGTTTTATTTTGAAGTACAGAAGTTTGCATATTCTATTAAAAAGTCCAAGAAGATGGGCATTTTGCAGAGAATCGCCTTTCCCATCTTTATAACCTTGTAAAACTTGATGTATCCATATTGAAACATCTAAAATAAAAAGTAAAATACAATATTTAAATTTTAAAAATAGTTGCTAACATTGTAATGATTGCACAGGACCAGAAAAATTTGTTACGACTCAGTCAATTGGAGTATGCATCCTAAAAGAATTTTTGATCACTATATCCAAATCCGTTGCCCATTTATCTCTATCACGTCAGAATTTTTTTTAATAATAATTTTTTATAAATTTAAACAAATTATCTATAATTTACATAAATAGGTCGACTTTTTTATGTTTAACTAACCAGGATACTAATTTTTAGTAGGGTCAGTTGGGGTAAATGGGGACAAGAAGTTTTGGAGCTTAATTTACAGTTTTAAAATTAAGTTCAACGTCAATATTTTAACCTCAGATCACCTGCAAGAGGTTTTGAGTATTGCCAGGCTTTTATCTTGACAATTGGCAGCAAGATAAAAAAAGTTATCGCTCAATGCATAAAAACTTGAAAATCAAAGTAAAACTGTTTCAGTATTTTGTCTCGCATTTCAAAGAAAACAGACTTAAAAATCATACCAAATTTTTTGCTTATTCCTTATGATTCCTATAACAGAAATTCACTTGAATTTTTGTCAATTTAGTTAATAATGACCAGCTGTCCCCATTTACCCCAAATTTTATGAAATTTTCTAAATTTTGGGGTAAATGGGGACAGTCAATTTCATGCGTTTAAAGCTTATCTAAATTTTTTTTCTGCTGCATAAAATTAATCCTGGGAACGTAAATAACAACTTTAAAAAAATAAACCTACAAATATTACCTTTTAAACGAAGAAATTTACGTAATTTGTAAAAAATAAGTTATACTCTATTCAAAAAATTAACATTTCAACAATAAAAGGTTTACAGGTCCAGTCAAAATTATTAATTAAAAACATTACCTCAGCAAGAAAAAGGGTAAAACATTTATTCATTTTTAATTGCACACCTGTATAAACATTCGAATCTTTACAGAATATAAGCTTATACGCATGTTAGTTAAAATTCTTATATAAATTGAAAAAGGTTTATGAAAGGATAATTATAATTAAATTTTAATTTTTTGAATACATTCATTTAAATCATTGTTAAATTTTCTTCTTCTTGATATCCTAATAAAGAAGGCTCAATTAATGTTAACGTTAAAAACAAATTAACACTAAAAATTCAGGTTTTTTTTAGAAAACATTAAAGGTTCTGATGCACTTACTTATTGTCAACAGCACCATTTCAAAAAAGGGTTGAAAATTCATTTTTTCGTGTTTCTAACTTTGCAAACATTTTCGGCCCAATTAAGGCTACAAGATGCAACACATATTAAGTCAAATCCCTATTTATAAACAAAAAGGGCTATGAAGGGATATTTACTATTGTAAACCAGCTTTAAATTTTCTATTTTTTAAAGTTCTAATAAAAAAAGGCTTAATTAATGCTCACGTGGGAAACAAATTTAAACAGAAAATTTAAAGCTTTTTTTAAAAGCCTATAAAGGTTCTGATACAATTACTTACTGTCAACAGCACCACTTCCAAAAAGGGCTGAAAATTAATTTTTTTGATTGTCTAACTTTGCAAACATTTTCGGCCCAATTAAGGCTACAAGATTCAACATATATTAAGTCAAATCCCTATTTATAAACAAAAAGGGCTATAAAGGGACATAAACCAGCTTTAAACTTTCTATTTTTTAAAATTTCAATAAAAAGGGCTCAATTGTTGCTCACGTCAAAAACATACTGAAACTGAAAATTTAGGTTTTTTTTTAAAAAAAAATTATAAAGGTTCTGCTACAATTACATATTATCAACAGCACCACTTCCAAAATGTGCTAAAACGTAATTTTTTTTTGAGTTTCTTATTATGCAAACATTTTCGGCTGTATAATGGCTACAAGATTCAACACATATTAAGTCAAATCCGTAGTTATAATCAAAATGGGCTATGAAGGGACAATAAGTATTGTAATCTATCTTTAAAGTTCCTGCTTGTGAAAGTTCCAATAAAAAGGGATCAATTAATCCTCATTTCAGAAATAAATTGATACTGAAAATATGTGTTATTTATTTATCTCGTTTTTAATAATAATAATAATTTGGGCATTTCGCGACTAGTAATAAAAAATTAATATTAGTTTTTTTTCTTATCAAAATTGGCATTAATTACACAGCCCCACAAAAAAAAGTGTCGTGCGCGGCAGACCAGACTAGTCATTTCCTATGTATTTTGACGCGCTGAACACGAATCCGAAGTCCGTTTTGCTCCATCACGTCAGGATTTTTTTCTAACCTCCAAAAACCTGTCGGATTTTGAGAGGTAGGCTACTTTTTTTAAAATTGATGGATTTACTTCAAACTTGGTATCTAGGGGTTTTTTTGGGTCGCTGATGACGAATTTGAAGTTAGATTTTCAAAATTCAAAATGGCGGCTCCAATATGGCGGACGAATTTTGTAAAAATTGATGGATTTACTTCAAACTTGGTATCTAGGGGTTTTTTGGGTCGCTGATTACGAATCTGAAGTTAGATTTTCAAAACTAGAAATGGAAATTCTTATATACATAATTAAGGTATTCACGTCTTTTTATGGTAGCGCACTCTTTTGTCCTCAAAGGATCTGTGTAATGGTTTTCTTTTCAAATTGGTGCCTCCAGGTACAATATCCCTTTTCAGCATCCAACAGTAGTCGGCCATCATATTTACATCCCATCTTCCTTGATAACGGACGCTCAAATTCTTTCAGATCTTGATGGAATCGTTCTCCTTGTTCTTCACTGTAATCTCCCAAATTTTCAGGGAATTGATCCCGATGCGAGTCTAAGTAATGCAACTTTATGCTCATTAAGCATCCTAACTTACCAAAGTTTTTAATCATATCACTAACTATTGCTCCCAATTTTCACTCTTGTGATTACCCAGAAAATTTTCGACAACTGCTTTAAAACTAAGCCATGCGGCTTTCTCCTTTTTATTCATCTTGGTGATAAACTGCTCATCTTTTAACAATTTGCGAATACGTGGTCCGTCGAAAACCCCTTCTTTTAGTTTCGCATCAGAGATTTCTGGAAACTTTTGTTCCAGGTATTTGAAACAGTTTCCTTTTTTATCTAAGGCTTTGACAAACTGTTTAATTGCTCCTAGTTTCGTCTGTAAGGGCGGAATTATCACCTTTGAAGGGTCGATATCGTCCGCCATATTGGAGCCGCTATTTTAAATTTTGAAAATCTAACTTTAGATTCGTAATCAGCGACCCAAAAAACCCCTAGATACAAAGTTTGAAGTAAATCCATCAATTTTTACAAAATTCGTCCGCCATATTGGAGCCGCCATTTTGAATTTTGAAAATCTAACTTCAAATTCGTCATCAGCGACCCAAAAAACCCCTAGATACCAAGTTTGAAGTAAATCCATCAATTTTTTAAAAAAATAGCCTACCTCTCAAAATCCGACAGGTTTTTGGAGGTTAGAAAAAAATACTGACGTGATGGAACAAAACGGACTTCGGATTCGTGTTCAGCGCGTCAAAATACATAGGAAATGACTAGTCTGGTCTGCCGCGCACGACACTTTTTTTTGTGGGGCTGTGTTATTAGTGATGGATAAACAGCCGTAATTGGTGTTTTAGTAAAAGTTTTACCTTCCACTGTTTTTGTCAATAACAAATAGCTGTAGAATGTCCTATTTGCTCTGTATTAAGAATGTCGCCTACAAAACGGACGGTTCCAATTAATTTATAATGAGTTTGAGGATTAACTACATCCGTAAATTCTGTAGGAGTTGACTTTATTTGTAAGTCTTCATTTTGCTGCATGTCAACTTCTAAAATTGCAAAGAGACCTATAAATAAAATAAAAAGTTATTAATATTTAACGAGTATGTTTATTTTAATATTTTTAAGCGTTACTTTCTAAATATGAAACAAGATTGGAATGATTTAGTGCTGAGATCACTGCCGTGTGTTGAGGCTACCACATGGTAACCTCAAGACACGGCAGTGGTCTCAGCACTGAATCATAGTTATTGTTCCTTCATAGCCCTTTTTTATAACTACGAATTTGACTTAATATGTGTTGAATCTTGTAGCCATTATACAGCCTAAAATGTTTGCATAATAAAAAACTCAAAAAAATTACATTTTAGCACATTTTTGAAGTGCTGCTGTTGATAATATGTAATTGTAGCAGAACCTTTATAGTTTTCTTAAAAAAAACCTAAATTTTCAGTTTCAGTATGTTTTTGACGTGAGCATTAATTAAGCCTTTTTTATTAGAACTTTAAAAAATAGAAAATTTAAAGCTGGTTTACAATAGTAAATATCCCTTTATAGCCCTTTTTGTTTATAAATAGGGATTTGACTTAATATGTGTTGCATCTTGTAGTCTTAATTGGGCCAAAAATATTTGCAAAGTTAGAAACACGAAAAAATGAATTTTCAACCCCTTTTTAAGTGGTGCTGTTGACAATAAGTAATTGCACCAGAACCTTTAGCCCTTTCGTGCCCCCGGGAAACCCATCTGACCGATTTTGTTGAAACATGTTAGTCGATAACCCATGTTAGGGTTATCGTGGTCGCTGATTCCGAATCCGATGTTAGTTTATCAAAATTCAAAATGGCGGATCCAATATGGCGGAATTTTTTTAAAAACAATTGCTTGGATTTGCTTGAATTTTGTATTCGGGGACTTTTGTGGTCGCTGACATAGACATATAGAAATGGACCTCTCACCACTGTGGAGAGACGGGATATGGATGAGTGAGAGAGAGAAAATATCAACTTATCCTGTACTTTCTCTATCTAGCAAAGTTTGATTGGTTAAAGCATTTTGTGACGTCAGCGCTCCAGGGCTGCGCTTTGTAGCAATAGTACCTTGTACATGTATCTATGGTATCTTCCAAAGATACACGTGTGAAAAATGTTGATTTAATTTTTGATTGTAAATAAGTGATTTTTAGAAATAATGGTAGTAAAGTGTTGTTATTGTCATTGGTCCTATAACAAGGACAATGGATCTGT